TAGGACAGGGACGGTAGGCACGTTGGTGCGCTTATGCACGCCCCCTACAGGCCTCTTAGGAAAGGGGTGAGGTCAATAGTAGACAGTCTAAGGTTAAAGTTTTTGGGGTTTGGGGAAGAAACTACAGAGTCGGGTAGAGTATTCCAGACATTGACCACTCTATTGCTGAAGTCGTATTTCCTGCAATCAAGTTTGGTGCGGTTTACTTTGAGTTTGTATCTATTGTGTGCTCGTGTTGTTATGGTTGAAGCTGAAGTATTCATTGACAGGTAGGACATTGCAATGTATGATTTTATATACCATGCTTAAGTCAGACCGAAGACGACGTAATTCAAGGTTTTCTAGTTCTAGAATTTCAAGTCTGGTGGCATAAGGTATTCTACGAGTAGAGGAGTGGAGAACTCTTCTTGTGAAATATTTCTGGACTTTCTCAATTGTGCTAATATCAGATACGTAATGTGGGTTCCAAACTGATGAACTGTATTCGAGTATTGGTCTAGCAAATGTTTTGTATGCTCTGGTTAGTAGTGTGATATTACCAGAGAAAAAGCTACGTAGGATTAGGTTAACAACTCTTAATGCCTTTTTGGCTATGTAGTTGCAGTGGGCTCTAGCACTTAGATCATTAGAGGTGAGTATTCCAAGGTCCTTTACAGAGCATGGGTCATCAACAAGATCTTGACTATTCAGCTTGTATTTTATTTTCTGATTTTGTTTGCCAATATGTAAGACAGAGCATTTATTTGTTGAGATTTGAAGTTGCCATTTGTTTGACCATTCTGATACATAGTCAAGATCTTTTTGTAGGGTAGCAGTATTTATGGATGTGTGATAAAAAATGCTGCTACAGTGAACAAACCCCATTTTTATTTTCATGTTTTTAATTTACACCGACTCCAGGGAGTACCAATGCCATTGGTTTTCTTTCAAGTCTCTTTTTGGTGCTCAGTCTCGTGATGATGAGGGAACAAACAAAGCCAACCGCTGATCCATCACCGGAAGCTTTACTTCCTGCTTGCTTTTATAGCTGACTTGGTGATTTTAGTTGGTGCCCCAGACTTCTTCTCAACAGATTTGATTTACACACACAACCGTCTGTCTCATGTCACAAATGGCAAAATGACCTACCAAGAGAAAGAATGCATTATGACAGAGATTTAGGACATCCCAAACATCACCCTAACATGATATGCCTGGTTCTGGCTTCAAATTGGAGCATCTTTTGTGTCTACACATTTTGTTTAAAAGCAAAAGCAGTTATGAACTAAGCAGGGCTAAATTTTGTAGGATTTAAATTGGAATGAAGTGACAGGAAGGGTGGAGTTCTAGCTTAGTGCAACTGAGCCCACTCTCCCCACTAGTGGACTGGCACACCAAACATGCTATGTGAACTGATGTGAATTAACGTGTAAAATGTATATAGATGCAACAGGACAGTCTCCCACTCCTGTCCAGCTTCTCAAGCTTCAAAGATGAACTTGAACAAAACACAACTTATTAGAAAAGCTGTTACTAGTATATATAGTATAGTGGTATACTTGTACTAGTATATAGTAGAGTATACTAGTATATAAAAATAAGAGCAAATCCAATTACATTGTAGCACTGATGATGTTATCTAGTTTGGTGATGAAACGTCTGCAAGAAAATCGCGAAGCTCAGAGAGCAAAATGGACCCCACAGTTATTAGAAAATGCCTGGAATTTAATCACATTTTCCTGGCCAGCATGCTTCTGAAGCCATTGTGTTCATGTGCCAGTCATTGCTTTATGGGAGGGCAGAAAGATGAAAATGTAGATTCTGGGCCTTTGTAAACAGTAAAGAAGCTAATTTAGATAACCAAGTCTGCCTATCACCATCAAGGTCAGCTTCTTCACTCTTCACAGCTTCTGCTTAAGCTCTGATAAAAGCTCATTTTTCCACCCTGTTTTCTAATGCAGAAAATGGAAACCTCCAAGCTCAGACAGCACCAAGGATTTCAACATCAGAAATATTCCTTCATTCAATGTATACTCCATCTTTAAATCAAAGAAGATGAAGGTAATAATAAACTACCTTCTATACCAGGGGTGTCAAACTCGCGTCATCACGGCAACATCACGTGACATATCAGGACTTTTTTCCCCGTTGCTAAACGGGGCGGGGGCGAGTTTGACACCCCTGTTCTATACTATTCCCAAGTAAATTCCATGGACATGAGTATGAAATCATCAGAATTGAAGCAGATTCAATATTGTCTTTTTACGCCCAATGACACAAACAATAATACATATAGTTCAAGAATGTCTCCTCAGGATCTCATCCCAGCGACACCAGAAGCAGTTAGATGGTTAGCTTCCTTAGATGTCGAATTATAATATCCCATTACAATTCTATGGCTCCAATTATATTATGGTGATTTTATTATGGCTTTAATTTTACATTTTATCTCGTACATTGTATTGTGAACATTCTGTGTGTGTGTGTGTGTGTGTGTGTGTATCAACATAACTGATATACAACACTGAAGGGGAAATAACTAGAGGAGAATCTTCTACAGAGGTCATGGAATCACTGATACATATTATATATGTATATCAGATGTGGTATTCAGCAGGTTCTGACCAGTTCTGGAGAACCGGAAGCGGAAATTTTGAGTAGTTCGGAGAACCGGCAAATCCCACCTCTGACTGGCCCCGCCCCCATCTATTCTCTGCCTCCCATGGAGTCTCAGCTGATTGGCTGGGTCTTCTTTGGTTGCCCTGCACAGGAGAATGGAGCTGGAAAGCAGGTTAGTGGGTTGGGGAGAGAATGGGATTTTGCAGTATCCTTCCCCTACCACGCCTACCAAGCCACGCCCACCAAGCCATGTCAAACCCACCAAGCCAAGCCACGCTCACCAAGCCACGCCCACAGAACCAGTAGTAAAAACTTTGAATCCCACCACTGCTGTATATGTGTGTGTAGGTATATGTACGTGTATATGTATATGTAGACATACACATACACACTCACACTGGTATGTGTATGTGGTGATTCATTTAACAACTGCATTGTTTAGTGATGGAAGTTCCAGTCCCAATCATGTCGTAAGTTGAGAACTACCTGTATGTACTGAATGCCAGCACTGGGCAAATGAAGGCCATATGGAAACCTCCCTCGTTTTCCGTTCCTGCGTAGCCTAACAGACAACACACTTTCCTTCTTCCTAGTTGTGTACATATCCCCAATCTTATAAACACCCTGCAGAGGCGGACGGAGGGATTTGCTAACAGGGTGGGAAGGAGGGATGATAGAGTCCAGAGCTTCCAGCAAGGTGGTCCCAGAAGCAGTGCCCTCTTTCCTGGTGATGCTCCAGCTCTTGAACCAAGCCATCTGCAAAAAGGAACAGAAAATTGGCTGCCAGTCTGACACTACTACACCATTATGCAATTTTGCTGCCAAATGTAAGCCAGAGACTTCCAAGATTTCAGTGGGGAGCTAAATACCTTGCTTGCTCTTACAATACACTGATTTGGTTACAGATGTTATTAGAACATAGTATTTCTCAAACTTGACGACTTTGAGATGGGTAAACTTCAACTCCCAGAATTCCCCAGCCAATCACGCTGGCTAGGGAATTCTGGGAGTTGAAGTCTACCCATCTTAAAAGTTGACAAGTTTGACAAACACAGCTTTAACACAGGAAACACACATCTTAAAGTTGACACACACATGTGTGAAGTCCACACTCCTTAAAGTTGACAAGTTTGAAAAACACTCCTTTAACACAAGGAACCAAATTTTTAAACACCAGAAACACTACTTAAAGCCAGGGAATGAGAGGAAGAAGGAGTCCATAAACTACTCACATTGCTGCTGGACTCCAACATGTTGTCCCAGGCCAGCCAGAGATGGGTACGAAGGCAACAGTGGCCAGATTGTGGCCAATCTTCTTGATGTGGGTGCTCACTTCCTTGATGATTTCCTGATAGTGGGCATTGCTGTAAGGAGACTCTGTGGAATCCATCTTGTTTACTCCAATTATTAGTTGCTTCATCCCTAAGGTGTAGGCGAAGAGGGCATGTTCCCACATTTGCCCATTCTTGGAGATGCCCACCTGAAGTTCACCTACACCAATAGCCACAATCAGCCTAGGGAAAAACACCAAAACCAGATGATTTTCATTGGTCACCAGGGTCCATTTTTCTTGGCAAAAGGAAAGAAACGGTTTGCATTGTTTTCTTATGTTCTTGGCTGACAGTCCTGCTGTTTGTCTGTGGTCTCCTATCCAAATATTACCCAGATTCAATCTTGTTTAGTTTCCAAGGCCAGCTAAGGTCTGCTACCTCCTTAGACAATGTAAATTTAATTAAGTGTATTTCAGTTCCATGTATACAATTCAGTTTTGCTTCCAGTCCATTTAGGTGGTCCTAGCTATCCTTTCTGAATTTGATTTCAATCCTTGTTTTCTCTTGGCTTCTCACCAAAGTTCAAACTCTGGGTGAACCTTTCAAGACAGACCAGACAAGAGGAAGAATCTTATATGCACAAAGATGGAGAGACACACTAATTCTCACCATGGAAGAATGAAGATGACGGGGTTGGCGGAGATGGCAAAACTGACAGGTTTAACTAAAGAAAAGAACTTATTTAGTTTTTGTTTCTACTTACAAGCCCTTCTGGATTATTTTTTTACTCAAAAACTGAAACTTTTGACTTTAGGTTTTGATTGTTAGATTTTATAATTTTAGAAATGGCTCGAAATGTTGTGAAATATAAAGCAAAAGATTGGTGTTGTATTCATTTTGTAACTTAGAGGGCTGAACCCAAAACCTTTCCCATCATCTAAACAACTTTGCAGCTGCCCAGGGTAAGAATGAGATTCTAGAAAAGGAATTGAGAGAAGAATGTAAAAGCAATAGAAGCCCAGAAGCTTCTGGATTCTTCTGGGATATTCTGTCCCCTGAAACCATAAAGACTAAAGCCATCCCCTGTGAGAGACTTCATATTGTCTTGTGAACCAATGTTTATGGTCTTTGGGGTTGGCCAGAATTAATTCACTGCTTCATTCAGGAAAGGCGGGTTGATCCCAGAGCACAACACAAAGCGATGTATGGCTCTCATCAAAGACACAATTTACTCCACATGCTAAATCAAGCCAAACTGGAAGGAGAGCAGGGTGGCCTTAGTGCAACATATGAAGTCAGTCCCTTGGTCAAAATGGAGGCAACCTTGCCCATTTCCTGACCGTTGAAGTGGAATGTTTGCTCCCTAAAATTCTCAGGGGTTGGAGGGTGTCTGTTGAAAATAGGCAGTTGGTGAGGCGGTTGGTGTAGGAGGCTGCTGTGCCTTAAATACACTGGATTTTGGAAAGACAAATCGCCTGTCCAAGAGGATCTAGACTGATATCTAGAAGAATCCAAAATCTGGAGCAACCTCCCCCTCTCTAGCAATAAGTACATTAATGAGTGTTAATAGTATCTCAGTCTTTTATTATTGTCTTACAAGATCACGTCCTTATCTTGCTTCAGGATGAGAACTAAAACATAGATTAAAGAAACCAACTGATTTAGTATTTCAAGCCCTGGAACTTTTAAGCACTTAATATAATTAGACTTAGCAAAGCTCCTGGCTGCATGGCAAATTGTTATTATCATTATCATCCTAATTTATCTTGTAACTGCACTTTTCATTCCAGAAGCTGAAAGTATGTGCAGACCAATCAAATAGTCTCCAATAGTAACAATATTGATAAAAAGAATATTAAGACCATGAAAACAATTAAAGTTCAACTTGTATAGTGTCAGTTCTAGAATAGAGAATCATTTAAAATGATTCCAAATTGCAAAGGAGGCCAATGAGGAAGACATTTGTAGACATTATAGTAGGTATCTATAAGGTGTTTTTTTTATCTCAGATGCAGACAGGGGCCCCACAGGGGGTCAAAATAGTTAAGAAAGTGGCTGTTTGTGTATTCAAAGTACAACACACAACCCCTTTTTTAATGTGCATCACAACAATGTAAAGATCAATTGCACAACCACAGCTGCCATCTTAATTTTGTCTAGGAGGTTTGGAGGTTAAAGTGGGATTTGAAATCATTCTTATAAATAAAGGCAATATTGAGCTATTAGTCTAGCCCAGTCTTTCTCAAAGGTGGCAACTTTAAAGTGTGTGGACTTTAACTCCCAGAATTCCTCAGCCAGCCTGTACCAGAAGTACTGGCTTAACCCTTTGTAAGCACGCCATACAAAGATAATTTGTGACACAAAGCTGCTGTGACTTGCTTCTGTCTCTCTGGTCCCTTGGTTTGGAATATACCTGTGACCATTGCAGATATTCTAGGTGAGGGAAGATGCAGGTAACCTATAGTAGACTTCAAAATCCCATAAACTACCGTTACTATCATCTCCATGGTCATTGGGAATTATAAAAGCTATAACCCCAAACTCTGGGAAAGCATCAGGTTACCTGCCCCGGTACTAATTCCTCAAAATGGACTTTAGAGTAGCTCAGGTACTGCTCAGTCTGCTATTTATTATATTTATATTCCACCTTACTTTCAAGTGCCCATGGTAGCGTGAAGACCACTTCTTCTACCAATAGTGCTGTGAGTTAGGTTGGACTCTGAGGGATTACAGGTAGTCTTCAACTTAAGACCATAATGGACCATAAAGCGGAGGGGAGAAGGGAAGGGAAGGAAGGAGAATGAAAGAGGCAAAAAGAGATAGATTGTCAATGCAAAATTGAAAATATGAGAGGTGTTCTGACCCAAACCTTGTTCCAAGGAAACAAACACTAAACAGAGGGAACAGCAAAACCTTTTAATGATTCTTTACGAATTTCATTCCTTCACGGTTAAAAGGCTGTTTCAAACTAATTGTCTCTGATAAGAAGAAGCTTTGCCAAGTTTATGCAAAGCTGCCAAGAACACAAGATAAACTTACTAAGAAAGATTTCAAACACAAAGAGTCTCCAAACACCAACCAAGATACTCCAAACGTCCACAAGGCTTGAGTGCAAAAACTTCTTTGCTTCCCGCAAAGAACTCCAGTTTCTCAGCTGGCTTTTATCTCTTAAGGGAGGGGCAGCCTTACTCCCGAGTCGCCCATGCTGCTGCAGCTGCTCTTTCCTTTGAGCAGCCCTGCGCGCACTGGGCACAGGCTCCTCGGGGACCTCTTCATCACTGCTGCCAACCTCCGCAATCTCTGAAGGCAGCATTCCACTCCCTGATGGTCCTGGCCCCATCCCTGCATCACACACAGGCCCCTCATCTGAGTCCTCGCTCTCCAAGACCTCAGCCATCCGCACCTGCTGCCAGTAAACCACAACAAGAGGGGAGAGGAGGAGAGGGAAGTAGAGAGAGGAGAAAGAGGGAGGGAAGGAGAAGGGAAGAGATGGATTGTTGATGTAAAATTGAAAATATGATGTATTATAAAGGAAAATGCATAATAATTTTTTTTTAAAAAAAAGACCATAATGGACACAGCCTATTATCGTTCTAAGTTGTGATGGTCCTAAAACAGACCACCCACATGGCAATTGGATTTTATGAGCTTTTTTGTTGCAGTCATTACACAAACACATAGGTCGTAAAGCGAACAAATTGTTTGCAATGGGGCGTTTTGCCAAAAAGCAGGTTCTACTTTGAGTTTTCAGCAAAAATGTTGTAAATCACAGTCAATTGACGACACTACAGGTGCAGCAAACAGCTAAATGCGGGCTGGTTGTCTAGCGCCCAAATGAATGGGGGAGGGGGGGCTGGCTGCTGGAACTTTGGATATGGGTCATAAGTACCTTTTGTGTGATCCATTGGAACTTTGAAGAATCACTAAGGGATCAGTTGTGAAAAAAGGACTAATTTACCTCCAGGTATCCCAGCGTACCTATTGAGCTACATGCGTATTTGAACCTCTTCCCCCACTTCCACGAAACCATTCTGGATCTTGGGCTGAGGGAGGGACAACTTCCCCAGAAACCCCTAAAGAGCTTCTTCTCAGGAACAGCTAGAGTAGAGGCCTCCAAACCTGGCAACTTTAAGACTTTAAGGAGAATTTGCCAAGTTTGGGGACCCCTGAGCTAGAGTCTTGGTTTCCCCTCTCCAAGTCCAACTCCTTCAGCCCCGCATCATGCCGCCTCTCTTCTCACACTGGCTTTGTATCTGGCAATTCTATTCCTCCCAAACTGTACAAGTTCTAGTCTCATTTTCTTCCCTTCGTCCTCCTCCCCACCCTGATCAGGAAGGACCAGAAGATGGAGAAGGTGTTTCAGAATAAGAACCCAGGGAAAATGTGCAGCAAGGTCCCAGAGATGGAAGAATGTGGTGGTCACACTCCATTGCTTCCAGCTCAAATGTCTAATGATGGGAACTGGCGTAGTCCCAAGATGCCTACAACCTCAAAGCCAGACCATTTGGAGTATCCTCGCACACCAGTTCCTTGGTCCAAACGCAAGTTCACCCACAAGCCAGCAGGTATGTATCTCCTGCTTTGGTTTCTTCTTTCTTTCTTTCTTTCTTTCTTTCTTTCTTTCTTTCTTTCTTTCTTTCTTTCTTTCTTTCTTTCTTTCTTTCTTTCTTTCTTTTTTCTTTTTTTCCCCTTCATTCCTCCATTCATTCCTTCCATCCATCCATCTCTCTCTCCCCTCCCTCCCACCCACACAGACAAGATTTCAGCTTTTCTGGAACTTGGTATTTCTGGTTTTTTTCTTTCTTTGCATGCCCATTTGTCTTCCATCTTAATGAGTTTGATCAACGTCAGGCCCAAAGAACCAAGAAAGATACCTGGTGATTCTTCCAAGCTGAGTTCTTTATTGTTTTCACACCTGTAGACAGAATCTTGCCAAATTGAAACAAACTATCTGCATCAACAACATACTCTGGGAAGGGCTGTCTTCATTCGCTTTTTCTCACACAAAACATCTGAATTGAGTTGTCTCTTTCTCCTCATCCCCTCCTTCTCGGGAATCCATCTGACTACATTCCATCACAATCAACCCTTAATGGTCCATGGCTACATCTCTCCTCACTCCCCAGAATGTAATGTGGAAAATGTACAAAAGTGAGGCAGTACACTCAGTTGCGTATCTCCCCAGAAGTGAGATTCTCAGATTTCACTGAATTTTACCTCCTGATGAGCAGTGGATTGTAAGATGCTCATGAACAGAGATGTCAAAGGCTGGATTAATTCTACTTGGAAGGCCGGCCAAGTCTGTCTGCACAATCTCTCCATCACCCAAACAGCCAAATCCAAACCTAAAATGCAGTACTTTTCTCCAAGGATGCTTTCATTGCAAGGACACTGATCCAGTGGTAGCTGCTCTTGGATCTCTCCATCACCGTGGGAAGGGTGGGATGGGAAACCCGTCTGGGCCATAATTCTTAGCACTTTTATTTCAGCAGGTCCCACCACCTCCACAAAACAGTCAGAAAGACTAGCAGCCTTGGCAGCCATGGCAGTAGGAAGCGGAGGCCACGAAGGGCAACAGGCTGAAGACATTGTGAAGGTCAAGAAGGCCAAGACTTTGCACCCAGTGCATCCAGATAAAGTCGGAGCAGTGGATGTGGTCGAGAACTTCATAGCCCACTTTCTCACTTACCTGCGTGAGTGTCCAGAAAGACCTGACTTCAGGGATACCACAGAACTGATTCCAGGAGATAATTATGCATACGAACAGGTATGGACAGCAACAATCAGTAAATTATTATAAACATTTGTGCTCATTTATCACAGCGTTTCCCATTTCCCAGATGTGTGAGCTTGTTTTCCCAGAATTCTTCACAATGGCCATTGTGGCTGGAGAATCCTGGAAGTTGAAATCCACCAATCTGGAAGTTATTCATCTTGGGAAACACTGGTATAGAGCAGGGGGCCATCCGCACAGGAGATCAAATGAAGCAAGATGGCAGCCATGCCTAGGTGACCAAAGCCATACCTCTTGTTAGATGCATGGAGGACACAGGTAAAAAAAAAGAGGTGGCACTTTCAATTGCACAGGTGTGTAGCCAACTTTTTGATTTAAAAAACAACAACGATTAAATGCCCAAGAAGGAATCATGTTAATTCTACCTAATCTAAATATGAGATCTTCTCTGAATTGTTGGTTTGCCTTTAGTTCTTATGTCCAGGTGAGCTTGAGGTCCTCCTGACCATCCCCCTTCCGGATTGCACCCAATACATGGAAGTAGAAGGCTACAGAGGCCTCTTCTACACCTTGTGCCTCTTGGAGAAGTCCCATGGCTTCCCAGCAACTTTTCTCCTGGAAGATGAGAAAACCATATCCCCAAGGAACATCATGGAGGAATTCTGGAAGCAGGTCAATGCGTTCATCGACATGGTTTATTCAGGTGAGATTTCCAGATGGGACAGCAAGGGGAATACAGGTAGTCCTTGATTTAGGACCACAACCAAGCCCCAAATTTCTGTTGCTAAGGTCATAAGTGCCTCCACGGAGGTCTATTGTAACTTCAATTGTTAAACTACTGGTCATAAGTTGAGGACTTACCTGCCTTGGGGAAGTACATAAAAGAAGAGAAGCAATAACTTGCAGCAATAACTTTCCTTCTGTATTCCATCTTGCATCACATTCACACATTTACCTGGGGTGGAGACGCCTCTGCTTGCAATCTCTTGGGGGACGCTGTCATATTCACCTGATGAACTCTCCGCCTGCTGTCTCAGTGCCTTTCCCAGGTTGGCAGGTGAGGCTGGAGAAAAAGAAGCCGAACTCTCCCACAGTTAACCTGGTCATACTGGATGGCTGCGGCACCACGTTCGTGACCGTGAACCTCATCCTTCTTCTGGAGTTTGCCGGCCAGTGGCCAGGTGCAGAAGAGGCGAGACAACCGATGGAGGACAATCTCGTGGCACGTCTGATGATGGAGAGGTTTTATTTTGTCGCCAAACAGCGTCTGGGGAGACATAATAAAGGTAACAAATCCGAGTTGGTGCTCAGCAAAGATTTTTGTTTTCATCCAATAAAATAGTTTTCTAAATATGCTAGGCAAATGTTGTTATCTTGCCAAAATAAAAACAGAACGAGTTGAAAAAGAAGTGCAGATAGTCCTAGACGTACGACCACAATTGAGCCCAAATTTTCCGTTGTTAAGAAAGTCTTGCCCCATTTTATGACTTTTCTTGCCACAGTTGTTAAGTGAATCACTGCAGTTGTTAAGTTTAGTAGCACAGTTGTATAATGAATCCGGCTTCCCCACGGAAGGTCGCAAAAGGGGATCGCATGACCCAGGGACACTGCAACTGTCACAAATAGGGGTCGGTTGCCAAGCATCTGAATGTTGATCATGTAGCTGCAACGGATGTGTGAAAAACGAGTCATAAGTTACTTTATTCAGTGCCATTTAAACTTTGAACAGTCAATAAATGAATTATTGTAAGTCGAAGGCTATCTGTACTGAGAAACTCATTTCTCTTTTAGTAACTCCATTAATGTTTTATCCCAAATCTGTGATATCGATCTCATTCTTGTAGATACAGGTAGTCCTTGACTTATGAACAGTTGCTTAGCAACCGTTCAAAGTTATGACGGACCCCTGAAAAGCTACTTATGACCCCATTTCAAAGTTCCAAATGGTCACTGTGAGTGCATTTTGGGCACTCGGAAACTGACCTGCATTTTGGCTGTTTGAAGCACCCCACAGTCCCATAAACCACAATTTATGACAGTTGTTCCATAAACTAGCTTCTACTTCTGACAAAACCGCCCCACGGTGAACAGTGGCTTTGCTTAATGGTGGATTGTACAGGTTTCAACACCTGTCCGTTTCTCTCCCCTTATATTCAATATATGTCTACATTTCAGAAACATGGAGAATTTCCTTCTTTCACATGGAAAAAGAGATTTTATACCACCACAGCAGTCCTCCAGCATGTTACAGACACCACGGGTCAAAATGCTGCAGGTATGTGTGTCTAGATTACCTGACATAGTCTAAGTCAGCATGAATTTGCTGAAGGTACCTTTGAGTTAGACCAAAAAATATTTTGATTGCATCACCCCGATGGGATGATGATCAAGAACCCAGCATCTTTCAGGGGCGCCATGGCATTTCTCAGAATCTCTCGAGTTTTGGTCACTGCAGTATAAATGAGAGGTTGAGACTCTAGAACAGGGCTGTCAAACTCACAGCCCGTAGGTTGGATGCACCATGCCCACACCTGGTCTAGCAAAGGGGGGGAACGTCCCGATACGTCATGTGACGACGACGTAACGACACGAGTTTGACCCCCCTGCTCTAGAAAGAGTGCAGAGAAGATCAACCAAGATGATTGGGGGACTGAAAGCCGAAACATATGTAGGATGTTTGCAGGAATTGGGTAGATCTAGTTTAATGAAAAGAAGGACTAAGGGTGACATGGTAGCAGTCTTCCAATATCTAAGGGGTTGCCATAAAGAGTCAACCTATTCTCCCAAACATCTAAAGACAAGACACAATGGATGGAAACTAATCAACGAGAGAAGCAATCTAGAACTAAGGAGAAACTTCCTAATGTGTGAACAATTAACCAGTAGAACAACTTGCCTCTTGAAATTGTGGGTGCTCCAACACTGGAGTTTTTTTAAGAGATTGGACAACCATTTGTCTGAAATGATATAGGGTTTCCTGCCTGAAGACGGGGTTGAAGACCTCCAAGGTCCCTCCAACTCTCTCATTCTAGAGGAGCATTAGATTAGAAGAAGCTAAAAGACCATGTTGCAGCCCTTCTAACAACGAACCATTGACATCCCCACTCCCAAATCACCCTGATAGATGAGGAAGGCCTGGACTAGAAGTAGCCTTGAACTGTGATGTTTCCCTTTTTTAAAAATGTTTCAGGAACGATTGTCTGAAGATGCTACAAGATCTGGTGGATTCTCTTAAGATGGAACACCCACTGATGTTGGCCCCTCTGAGTTCTTATCACATCCAGACGTCCTTTCTGCACACCCTCTGGAAGTGGAAGGCTGACACCGACTGGAAACCTTCAGACGTCGCCTACTGCTTCGAGAGAGTCCTGGGCAATTTCATTCAGGAGGTGGCCTCCGCTCACCTGAGCCATTTCTTTCTCCCTACATGCAATCTGTTTGCGGCAAAGTTCTTCCCGCCCTCGAAACTGCAGTTCTTGTGCTCTCATCTTAGAGAGAAAGAAGCCACCGCCAAGACATCTCACCAGAAAAGTTATCCTGCTCTGGCTGTGCGTTCTGACATGACACGGCCACACTGGGCTGTTTTCAGTTGTTCTCCCTAGTGTGGCAGTTTAACCCAGGGGTCCCCAAACTTGGCCACTTTAAGACTTGTGGACTTCAACTCCCAGAATTCTCCAGCCAGCATAGCTCCGCCTCTCCATGAAGCTGCTCTTTATGAAAACACTGCCTCGACTCGGGCTCTATGGCATAGCTGGCTGGAGAATTCTGGGAGTTGAAGTCCACAAGTCTTAAAGTTGCCAAGTTTGGGGGCCCCTGGGTTAACCCAAAGATACCTGCAGCTCCCCTGAGCCAAAGAAAAGCTGGGCACCTTCTTTGTTAATGACCAAGTCGTTTAAGCCAATCCAGGTGATTCACAGTTTTGCAATTGCAGCAGGCGCTAAGAAGAATTCTTGATGGATTTCCAGAAGGCGTTCTCAGTCCTTCTTGTAAAATCCATCAATCTTTTCCATTCATTTCCAGTCACATAGTCTGTGGAGAGACTTAACGTTCATCCCATAAAAGGCCAAATATTACATCTCAAGTGACGATGGCAGGCAATCTCTTTGGATATTTTGAATTGCAGTTCCCATCATTCATGATGGCTGCGCATTCTGCAAGTGCCTGTTGAGAGTTGAACTCAAAAGGAGAAAGGACCATGGCAGATTTTGCCGTTACAGTTTGATTTATAAAAATAGGCAAAGATAAAACATACTTTGAGCCTCAGGAGAAAACCGATTCCAGAACAATGCACTGATTCATTATTGTTAGCCTGACTACCAACTGGGAACTAATTTTATTCTCCCTTTGAACTAGAAGTTGCTGCAAAGGAATGTCAATTGACATTCTTGGTGTTCCAGGACTCCCACTCCCAGAATTCTCCACTAGCTTATTAGGGGGTGCCAGAGTTTGTATTTCTTTTGAACCTTGAATTTTAAACTGAGTGACTTTTTTTCCCAAGGGCAGGAACACACTGTAAATTCAAGTGGCTTTACCCCATCGTCATCACCACCATTAATACCAACAGCAAGATTTGCAAATGTGTGAATGGCTGGCTAGGGAATTCTGGAGTTGAGGTCCACAAGTCTTAACGTTACCAAGTTTGCAGAGCCCTGGTTCAGATCATTGTTTCTTTTGTTCGTTTGCTTCTTTTCCTGGTTTGGTGGAATAGCCAAGTTAATGAGAGGCACACAGTTTGCTTTTCATGTTCTTGTTGTGGTTTTTGATGTGAATTGCTGCAATAGTTTTTGTATTCTGAAGAAATCTGTTCCAT